TCTGGGGGGTTCCGGCACACCCAGCAGCACACTGCCACCGGGGCTGTAAAGCCCCAAACGGTTCGAGTAAGATACAGTCGCTGCCACGCCAAAATCTGTGCTCAGTGCCCTCGGGGACACAGGGCAGAGCCGTCCTGCCGCGGGCACGGGCAATCACATGTCTGCTCCCAGCTGAAACTGTAAAAACGCCTCCAGGCGGGYTCAGGCAGCTGGCTGCCCCCTTGCCGGGTCAGCTCTCACCCTCCGAGGCGGGGCGTGAATTATCATCACGCGGTTAWTGTTACACTGCACGAGCAATAACAAACACGGAGCCGCGGGCTCAATCCCGGCTCCCGGAGCACGCAGGGCTGCCCACGTGGGGACACAACAGGGACACGGCTGGGGCTTCCACCCGTGGGACAAAAGGGTGTGGCAACCCTTGTCCGCTTTTCCAAGCCCGCCAAGACATGGAAAATCTCCTCCAATTTCATCCAGGCTGCCCCAGCCTYCCTGAGCACAGTCTGGCCAAAGCCTCCGCTACCATCTGCTCTTTTCTGCRAGCTTTCCGTTAGCGGCAGCCCAAGGAAACCTCCTGGCTAAATCCTGCTGGGGGAGGATTCGGTACATTTTCCTGGCGTGGCCTGTCTGTTTCTATTGTGGCTATCAAACGGAGCCRGGATTGTCAAGGAAGCAACGCCTGCTGCTTTGGAAAGCTGCCCAGTGCCCGGGAGGCATTGCCTCTSCCTGCCAGGGTGCTGGGCACTGGGACAGGGTGTGGACACTACTCAGGGGCTACTCACAGGGGATCTGTGCCAGGGATCACCTCCCCAGCCTACCTGGCAGTGCCACTCGTCCTGGGTTGGGTCCAGGCTGGTGACGCCACACCTTTTATTCCTGGTTAAAAATTCACTGGAGGTGAGGCAAAGGGACGCAGAAGTGTTTGCTCTCTCTGTCAGGGCGCTGCTCAGCGTGGGCACGCCGTGGCAGTGGAGCAGGAAGGTGAAAAGGATATGAGCACAGTGCTCTGACATACACAGGCACGACAGAGAGCCAGGACAGAGCAGGAGAGAGGAGGAAGAGGAGGAGTCAAAGGGTTGCACAGCCTGCACACCTCCATCCCATCAGCACAGGCATTGCCCCCCCCAACAATCTGCCCCAGGGCACTCCAGAAGCCGCTTGAGCTCCCCAGGACGGTCCCCAGCTGTCACCCCACCTCGGAAACCTAAAGGCTGATGCAGAGCTCAGCCTAAATCTTGGGGTGTTCCCTCATGGATGCCCCAGGCAGCAACAAGCTGGGGAGCCAGCACCATCCCTGCCAGTGTCACAGCCAGAGCCCACAGCTCTCCCTGCGTGACAGCCCAGGGCACTGCGTGGCAGGGGGATTTACAGCCCAAATCCTCCTCTGCTTGCTTTTGTGCCATTCCTTTTTCTCCATCCCTCCTTGCTCTCCCACACCCTCCCCAGTATTTACACCCAGTCCTGTAACCTCGTGCTGRGACCAAGCCAAAGCTCAGCCAAGCCGGGAAAAGCCCCTCTGCTGACTCCAGGAGTATCTGAGCCGGCTCTTGGCCCTTGTGGAAACAATCTGTGCTTACTGGGTCACTTTTAATATCCCATCCTAAATCACATATTCCAGCACTTCATCCCTTTTGGCTCCTGTTTATTGACTTCCCAGCAAATGCTTTAAATCTGTCTGGCTTCGCTGCCCAGCTGTGCTGCTCTGGCCCCAGCACATCAGAGCCATTCTCACTGTGTTTCAGGACCCCTCCACACAGTGATGGTCGCATCTCCCATCCCAGCATGGACTGGCTCAGATGTACCCAGGGCTGCCCTCATCATTCCTACCCCTGCCAAGCCCTTTCCTGGTGTTTTCCACGTGTGCAGCTGCTGTGCTCTCTGGGAGCAGCCTTTGTACCCTCACCATCCCTTTTCTGGGTCACAGGCTGTGCAGCCCCATTTCTTGTGGCATGGGCACCCTCAGCCTTCTGTTGAGAAGCACCACTAGGTGACAATCCTGCTCCTCCTGCAGCSTGGGGACACCCAGCACCSRGCCTGCCCTCAGAATAGCTCGACCRGCTGGTGAGTTCTCTCCTGAGCTCTGCTGGCTCCCAGGAAACCTGGGAGCTGGCAAGTAAAACGGCCCAGGACAAGTTCACAGGGCTTGGGGGATTTCCAAGCAAAGCTGCATCCACTTTGTTCTCTGTTTTCCTCTKTACCCTGGAGAGCTTGTCTGTAATCACCAGAGCCCTCCAACTTTTTTGTCCCACTAGCAAGTCCAAGCTGAAAAAAACCTAAAATATTTGACATCCCTGAGGGGAAAGATGTTTTCCAAGCCTCAAGTAAAGGAGCACTTTCAGCTCACATAAGCCTCCCAAAAATAAATACAAAAATGCACCAAGGATTAGAGGCCAGAGCTGCCTTCTCTGCTCGAGCAAAGTGCCACTCTGCTGTGTTTGTGCCCTGGTCCCCACACTGACCCATCAGCACAAGGATGGCCCCAGCCCCTTCAGCACTCACACAGATAATCCCACACAGGATCCCAAAAAAGGATCCCAAAGATCTGCTACAGCCTTCAGGTTCCTGATCTTAGCACCCACCCTGTGAGTGCCTGCAGTACTTGAGGGACACTTTTTGTCACAAAGGGGTGCCCAGCCCCTCTGCCTGCTGAGGGTGGGGGGACATTGCCCACCCAGAGCCCAAGCAGCCAGGTTGTGCCATTTGGAGTAGCAGGACGCTGGGATATTTGTAGGCTTCCCAGCACTCCCTTGTGCAGCAGAGCTGAATTTTGTCTATTTTTAATTTCATTGCATTCCTTCAGTAAAACTCTCATGGGGGAAAGAAAATGTAAGGAGGAGAAAAAAAAAAAAAAAAAAGAAAAAAGGATGTGCCTGAGGGGCACATCTACGTGTGGCAGACTTGGCAAATTTTGGCTGTGAGGGCCCCGCTCTCTGCAATGGGTCAGAGGAGGAGCCGGCAGGGTGACACGGCTCTGATTTACACTGCAGCCTTGTCCCTAAAGCATCCGAAGGGTCACGTCTCTATAGAAACCCCACCAAAACACCAACACACACACGCCCGTTCCCCGAACCGGGAACTACCGAGCATTCTGTGCCTGGGAAAAGGCTYCGTGCCGCTGGGATTGCTGCCGGGAGGGAAAAACCACAGCTCTGCCGGCTGCTGAGCCCTGGAATGCCGCTGCGGCCGCGGGCTGCCTGCTGTCCCTGCTCTGCAGCTGTGCCCGGGCCAGGAGCAAGGCCGGGGGCTGGGGCTGGCAACCAACCCCCTCTGCACGGCAACGGAGCGGCTCCAGGGCTGGGRCTGRMAACCAACCCCCTCTGCACGGCAACGGAGCGGCTCCAGGGCTGGGRCTGAAAACCAACCCCCTCTGCACGGCAACGGAGCGGCTCCAGGGCTGGGRCTGRMAACCAACCCCCTCTGCACGGCAACGGAGCGGCTCCAGGGCTGGGRCTGRMAACCAACCCCCTCTGCACGGCAACGGAGCGGCTCCAGGGCTGGGACTGAAAACCAACCCCCTCTGCACGGCAACGGAGCGGCTCCAGGGCTGGGGCTGCCCCAAGGATGCAACACCTCGCAGGGGCCACCAGGTCCCTGTTTTCCCCAGCAGACGGGGCCAGTGGGATGCCTAGGGGGGCACAGCCAGCAGGCAGCCCAGCGGGGCTCTGGCAAGAACGTGAGMGAAGGGACGAGCCGGAGCAGCGGTTCCCAGAGCCGGTGTTTGCCTTGGCAGCCGCAGGCTCCGTGCTTCGCTCTCCAGACGCCGCCCGGCTCTGGGGGGAATAGCTGCGTGTCTAAAACCAGGCCTGGCAGCGGGGCTGGGAGCTGGCTGGGGACAGAGCAACTCCTAGGGGCTGGGGGGTAGCCAGTGTCCCCACACCGCATTCCTGCCCCGCTGCTGCCAGGCTGAGCTTTCCCGCTGGCAGCCGCACTCGGGCACGGCTCAACTGGGGGGAACAGTGTCACCTGCTCTGTTACTTTTCTGCATTAATTTTCCACCCTCCAAAGCCGGGAAGGACCCCATCCCACCCCAYCGCAGCTGCAGCCCGTTGTGCTCTCAGCCATGGCTTGTTCTGCACCAGGAGGAGTTCACACTCAGCTGGGGCTGCTCAGCCTGGCCCCGGGAGGAGCAGCCGGGACAGACCCACAGCAGCAGGATCCCACCCTGTCCTGGGCCCAGAGGGATGTAGGGATCCCGTGCCGCCGCCCAGAGCTGAGCTGCACACCACATCTCTCAAAACCTTTATTGTCAGCAAATAACAAAAGTCAGCCCCGCGGCCGCGCAGGGAGCCCGGGGAGAGCGCGGTGCCGGCACCCAGGGCTCGCTGCCCCGGCGGGTCCCCTGCACCAGCCCCCTCCCCGCTCTCCTGGACGGCAGCAGGGCCGGGCGTGCACSGGGGGACGGGTGAGATGGGGCACGTGTCATTCTCCAAGCGAGGAGCACATTTACAACTGCTTATAAATAAACAACAACGACGAGAAACCTGCGGCTCGGGGAAGCAGAGGGGTCCTGCTGCCCACGCCGCCAGCCCAATGCGCTCTGTCCTCCAGAGGTGGGGAAGGGAGAGCCCCCACAAGCAGGGCTGCAGCTGCCAGGTGCCCCCTGGCACGGGCTGTGCTGCCAGGGGGATGGGGCTGGGGAGGGCACCAACATAAACCAGCCCGCAGAGCAGGGGCACTGCTGKGTGCACCTGCAGGGATCCAAGGATGGGGATGGACGGGGGTGCCAGAGCTAAAGGAGAACAGGGCCAGCTGTGGCACCTGGGAGAGGGAGCAGGGCGTGGAGCCCAGGAACAGCCAGGAGAAGGGCAGTGCTGCCAGGTGTCACAAAACCCAGCAGCTGGTGAGGAAAAGGGCTGGGCACCCTGAGCCACAGCCGCCATCCCCAAGCACTGAGGGACAGCACCCTCCCGTGGTGAGACTCCTGCCACCACCTTCCATTGTCCTCAGCCCTTTGGGTGCCACCCCCTGCACACAGCGACATCCCCRCCCCTGYCCTRCWGCCTCCCAYRCTCGGGGGGCTGATGGAAGGGCTGGGGAGGGCAGAGCGCATTGGGAACCACCAGAGATACCTTCTACCTTTGCCTTTAAACACTGAAGCTTATATTAGAGACTATGATATAGAAMCCAGGGGCAGGGCTGTCCTGCCCGGAGTAGAGACAGCAGAGAGGGCACAGCTCCGTGGCCAGCCTGGTGAGGGTCTGCCCCGGCTGGGAGCAGGAGGTTAGTACAGGAGGGGCACAGAGCGTGCGGGCMGGCGGGCGGGGACGCTGCCTAGGGCTGGTTCTTCGCCTCGGGGTCTTTGTCGTAGATGTAGCTTCCCACAGCTCCGGTGTTGACACCTGCGTGGAGTGAGAAACAGGAGGGTGAGGAAGGTGGCACGCTCCAGGGAGATGTCCCCTCTGGGTGGTGGGAGAGTGGCAGCCCACACAGTGAGTGTCCCTGGGCTGGGTCCCCACCCCGTGTGCCCCAGGCACTCACCCTTTGGCCCGAAGAGGATCCCGTAGCAGGGCTTGTGGCAGTACGGCTGTCCATCGTGCTGTGTGGGACAGAGAGACACCTGTCAGCTGGGCTGGGGGCCAGAGAAACCCAGTCCCCAGGATGTGTCCACCTGCTGAACATCTCTGTCACTCTGTCCCCTGCCGCCACCCCAGCACTTCCCCAGGCCGAGGAGCTGCTCCTCCCAGCCCTGCCCTCCTGCAGAGGAGGGTTTGCCTATGGGATGGCTTGGGACAGCTCAGCCACGGCCCATGGGCATCCCCAGTGTGCTGGYCAGGGTTCTGGGGCTGGGACAGCCTTACCTCGGCGTGCCCCCCCGGGGTCAGCGTCTTGCTGCAGCGCTCACAGCGTAGGCAGGGACGGTGCCAGTCCTTCCCCAGCGAGGTCACCTTCTCAGCTGCAGTGGGACAAGGAGGGAGGGTCACACCAGCCCCCTGCAACGTGCTGAGGGGGAGCACTCCCCGTGGGGACATCACCCCTGCCTGCAACATCCTGAGGGAGCCCTGTGCACCCCAGCCTCCCACACCCCTGCCCACCCCCTCCCAGTGCCTCTCAGGTGACAGGGGACAGCTGAGGACAGCTATTGCCACGTGGGAGCTGCCAGCAGGGACAGGATGCAGATAGAGCCCTGCACCCAGGAGAGTATCAGGCACATCCCTCTGTACCCACAGCTCCCTCTCTGATCCAAACCCTGCTCCTATCCTCTCTGCACACCCCAGGGCTCCTGCATGGCCCCCAACCCATGGGGCCATGCCACCCCGAGGCCAGGTCACCCCAAACCCATGCCACCCCAAGGCCATGCCACCCTGAACCCATGCCACTCCTCGAGGCAAGCACCCACTGCCCACTGGCCACCTTACCAAAGTAGACTCTCTTGCCACAGCGTGGGCACATGTTGGGCTCCCCAGTGAAGGTGGTGACACTGGAGGCTGCAAGGAAAGAGGACATGTGCATGGGAAGTGAGGGGACACCTCAGCCAGGACACAGCTGGGTGGGGCAGACCCCACACACAAACCCTGCACCCCACACCATCACCAAACATGCTGGCTCTGGATCAGCTGCCCAGCACGGCACAGGGCCAGGCTGCCTGTCCTGTGCTGCCCCTCACCTTTGCTGGGTCCCTTGGGAGGGGCAGCATTGACCTTCCTCTCCTCCACCTTCACGGGGTGCTCGATGGGTCCCGGAGCAGTCTGCCCCTCGATCTGCGGCTTGTCGTAGATGTACGAGCCAGCACCACCGATGTTCACCCCTGCAAAGGGACACACAGAGGCTGTGGTGGTGGCCTGGGGGCACTCGGGGTCCCCATTGTCCCCCCAGCCCCCTGTCCCACCTCCCCCAGCCATGCTGAGCCAAGGGCCACCCCCACACTTCAGCCCTGGCTTGGTTTCTCCTGAGCCAGGCTTTTCTCCAGCCACRTCTGGGATAGGAGAGTGACTCCACCTTCTGTCTGAATGGGAATTTGTTTTTTAAAGATTAAAAAAATAAAAAAGGGCAGCTGTCAGAATGGATTCCTTCCTCCCTCGTTCCCTCCCTCCCTCCAGTGGCTCTTCTCTCCCTCTGCACAAGCAGACAGCAGGGCTGGGACTGCAGTTTGTTGGCTTGATGTTCAGCTATGCCAACCTGGCTTCTGGGATGTTTTTGGGGCCACCAGTGGGGATGAGGGGACCTGGCCCCTCCTGAGCACAGCTGCACAGGCATGGGGGGAGCCTGGACGTACCTTTGGGGCCGAACAGCGTGGCGTAACAGGGCTTGTGGCAGAAGGGCTTCCCGTCGTGCTGGGGAGAGAGGGCAGTGTTAGGATGCTGAGCAGTGAGCACGGTTCCCTCACTGGTGCTCAGAGACCACCGTGGCCATTCTTGTACCCTAAAACACACCCAGCTGGGTGTGCAGCGACAGTCTAACCCAGCCTGAGCACTCGGGGGGTTCACCTGCATCAGTCATCCGGGCTGTTCTGGAGCACCAGTGTCCAGCTTAGGTGACAGGCACTGGACTCAGCCGTGCGGCACCAGACCCAGCAAAGCATCCCCTCACCCCCGCAGCATCCTGTGCACAGCCAGACCATTCTCGGGTGCTCAGAGCACCGTGGGAGCCCTGAGCTTCGCCTTTCCCTYGCCTTGGCCCGAGATCAGAGCCCCTYKCGGGCGCTGGTCCCAGCCCAGCCGYTATCGACCCCGCTATCGTCTGGGGTGATTATCACAGGAAGGCATGAGGCAGGCGATAAACCCCGGAACTCCCCRCAGCCGTTTCTCATGGGCCAGCTGGAACCGAGTCCAGGAGAAAAGAAAGAGCGTTTGTGGCTGGAGCAGGGGCCAGCAGGGCTGCACACACTCTGCCCCACGCAGAAAACCCTCTGGGACCCCGTTCTCGGGCAGGATCCCACCCCACGGCATGCTCGGCTTCTCTCAGCATCCCCACCCCGCTCCATCCCCTCCAGGCAAGGCCAGGGCTCCCTAACGAAGGGCAGGGTGGCACTGAGCAGAGGTGCTGTGCCAAGGGCGAGGGCCAGCACAGCCAGAGATAAGGCTGGCAGAGTGGGAAGGCTGCGGGCTGGCCAGAGGCAGCTGCAAAATACTGCCAGGCATAAATCCGAGYGTGCTCACAGCGTTACCAGGCCACGGGGGAGGGTAAACATTTGACTGGTCTCCCCGCGACACCTTTCCGACCTAGCCGCCTCAAAAGGAGGGGGAAACAGCAGGGAAAGGCCAAATCTGCTGCCGGCACAGTCAGTGGGGCTTGGCTGCCATCCCCTATGGCAGCAGAACYCAGCCTTATATGGAGAAGCAGCAAATCTTCCGGGCTTAACCCGGCCTGAAGCACAGATCCAGCCCATCCTCCGGGCAGGACAGGCCCCGCTTCCCGCCGGCTGGGGACAACCAGCACAGCTGTCCCCCTGCTCCCAGCTGCTCTGCCCGCTAGAGCCAAGCTAAGGAGCTGGTGACACYGTGGAATGACAGGTGCTGCACAAAGCCGGGGCGGCGGGTGTCACACTGGGACATGGCACAGGAAATACACAATTGCTCCCAATCTGAGCAGCTGCCACCACCTTCACACTGCCGGCTGCTGGGTAGTGGCAGTGGCATCACGCTSCAGCACGAGCTGCAGGGCACTGAGAGCACAGAGCCGGGCTGTCATTGCCATGGCAGCCCTGGCATTGCCCATTCTCGGTGTTTTTAACCCCAGGTTGGTGCAGGCTCTCAGCACCCACAATGTCCCAACAACTCTGCCCGCTGCATGGAGCTTAAAGTTCTTCCCTGKGTGTGCCAAGCCCCACCAGCGCTGCCTAAGAGCCCAGGGTGACAGAGCAGGGACACCAAGTGTGGTGCCAGCACCACTCTGTGGCTTGCCCAGGGCTGTGCACAGGAGTGCCATGAGCCGCAGCAGCAGCCACTGAGGCCACAGGGTGTTGTCCTGGGCTGGCATGCTGCAGGGACAGCCCCTCCATGTGGCACCAGATATCTACCCCAGCCCTGCTCTCGGGGTTCCCACCCCACCAGAYCCCCCGCACCCACCCAGCTCTTACCTCAGCGTGCCCGCCCGGGGTCAGGGTCTTGTTGCAGCGCTCACACTTGAGGCAGAACTTGTGCCAGTCCTTGCCCAGGGAGGAAACCTTCTCGGCTGCAAGGGACACGAGAGAGGGGTGAGCCACTGCCCTGCACCCGCTAAAGCCCGGTGAAACCAGACTGTGGGATCCACGGGGGGCTGCACCCCAGAGGGGCTCAAGGGGGGCTGCTCACACTGGACATGCTGCAGGGACCAGGGGCCGCTCTGCTGCAGCCCTGTGGGACACGGGGACACAACCCCGCTCTCTGACCCCTCACAGCGCCAGCTTTTAGGAAGAAACCTAACCCCATTCCAGCTGGAAGCAGGACACCGCGCAGCTGCCATCCCGCGGCCGCGCTTTCCCACGCACCAGTCCAGAACCGGTAGCATTTTCATTCCTAYTCCCCGCGTCTATTTTTACCCGTGCCACGTTACCCGGAGTGACTTCACTCCCATTCAAATATTTGGCGTTTCCATGCCCACCCCGCCCGTTCAGTCACACTCTCCCCCCACGCACACCCAGCCTCTCCCCRGGGAGCCGCTGCTGCAGCTCCAGAGATGCTCCCAGGAGGATGGGGACAGCCATCCCAGGATGGACACTTGGCTCTGGAAAGCAGCTGCCCCTTGGGCGTGCGGGTGCTCACCACTCGCTCCCAGCCCGGGAACAGGCACGGTGTGCAGATGGGTGCGCAGCCACCATCCAGCAACTCGCTGCCGCCACTGGGAAGGGTTTCAAAGCACCAGTGGGCAAATTCAGGGAAGGCAAATGCTTTGAGATGGGTTGTATGAACACAAATGCAATCCCTCCATCTGGCCCTGAGCTGTAGGTCTCCAGGAGCGCCCTGGGAGGCAGCACAGGCTGCCAGTGCTCATCTTCCATCCCCAGCCTTGCATCATCCCTGCTCCCTCCCCGCTCCTGGGTGGTTGAGGGCAGCCTCGTGCCCCCCACGGATTCCTGCYGGCCCTCCCTCTGCCCTGCACATGTGCAGAGACAGCTGGAAAACAGCGTGAGCCCGTTAGAGCAACCGTAAAACTAAATCAGGAGAGCCAAATGAAATATTTAACAAGCAAATAAAAGCGCAACCGGAGCCGGCCCCGCTCCYCGAGCAGACCTCCTCTGCGATGCCRGCTTTCCSCCCTGAGGACCTCAGCAAATGTCACCTGTTTGCATCCGGTCAAGATGGGGGTCAAGGGCTCCCCAAAGGGCAGGTCCTGGCTCCCAGAGCCTCCCTCCTCCCAAGGCAAACAGCTGCATCCTGGGCATGCCACGGGGTGAGATAAGCCGAARCAATGCCATCACCACCCAAAAATTCAGTCCCGGTGCAAAGCAGGGTGGCCGGAGGGGGCAGAGACACAGCCATTGCACCAGAGGAGACTCCTGAGGGTATCCCCAAACAAGCACGAGGAAGGTGGGCTTCGGGGACTGGCATCAGCTGGAAGAAATTCCAAACCCACCTCCCAGTGATGCCATGCAGGCTGTTAAACCAAACTGTGACAGGAGCACACAGCAGGGGGAAGGGATGCCCACCACAGCCAGGGGTCTGTGCTGACCCGCCCAAAGCTGCCAGAGCAAATCCCTGCTGGCTCCGAGCCCAGGGGCTCAGGACAGCCCATATCTCCCTCCCCAGCCCCTCACAGAAAGCAGCACAGCAGGAAAGCGCCAGGGCCAGCCCTGCCCTCCTTTTCCTCTGCAGCCCTCACGTGTCTCTGGAAGCAGAGAGCGCGCTGCAGTGCAAACAGCCCGCAGGGTAAACAATCCCCTTTTGGGAATCCCAAAAGCAAAGGGAACACAGAGATCCCAGCACCCCGCTGCCCTGGAGCCCCTGCAGGAGCCCTGCATCCTCGCAGCCCTGCCGGCAGGAGCGGCTGCCTGCCCGGGGTGACCAGGCAGAGAACCGGAGCGTGATGGGCTGAAAGCCGAGCCAGGGGCTCSGGGCCAAAGAAGCACTCGGCTTTGTCACAGTGGATGCACAGCCAGGCCAGGCTGAGATCCGACTGCGTCACCCCAGCTCCCCCCGCTGCCCCGACCCAGCGCCGCCACASAGCAAGGAGGAAGCTCCCGGCGGATGTTTTCCAGGGGCCATTGCAATTACAGCTGGCCACAGCCCACAGCAGCTCCTTCCTGCTCCCGCCATGCAAGAAGCTCCCCCAATATCCACCCCCTCCGCGGTATTCCAGCCGATGGAAATCCTTGCTCCCCCCAGACGGATGAACCATCCCTGCAGAGCAAGAGGGATTTCAGTGGCACCCGCAATCCGTKCCAGGGGATGGGGCAGGAGGGAGGAGGCGGCCGGGTGCCCCCGGAGCACAGGGACAGCCCGGGAACCACGGGGGCTGCCCCTCGCCTCCAGATGGAAATGCCGCGCCGAGGCCGCTCAGGCATCCTCCTCCGGCTGCAAACAAGGATTCCCGGGGGATGYAGCCGGGACCGGCACAGCCGGGATGGCTTTCCAGAAGGCATTGTTCGCACCGAGCAGAGGAAGCAGCTTGGAGCCACCCCGGCCCATTTCCAGGGCAGCAGCCTGCAGCCACCCCATCCCATAAATCACCGCGGAGGGAAAGAACCAGCGCCCAGATTTCCTGTGGCTCGGCCACAGCTGCTCCGCTGTTGCATCAGCTCCAGAGGAGAAGCCTCTGGCCGCATCCTCCTGCTGCTGGGGGGAGCCCCGCTCCTTCCCCCGCACCCCCAGGGCTCACCCCCCCATCGGCACCGCAGGAGCAGCAGGGGCTGTGTCCGGGAAGCGTGGGATGGCACAGGGCTCCAGGGCAGACGTGTCACTACACCCGGCCTCTGCCACCAAACTCTCATCCTCTCTCATCACGCCGAGTGCACGCAAATCCTCRCTGAATCCCACCCTTGCACACTCAGCCCTCAAGCCAGCCGAGTTTAAACCCTGGAAAGGCACAGTGAAGGTGCTTGACTGCAGGAATCTGGGATGGGGATTTGCTCTGTGCAGGGGATGCAACCCTGGGATGGGGATTTGCTCTGTGCAGGGGATGCAGCCCTGGGATGGGGATTTGCTGTGTGCAGGGGACGCAGCCCACCCTGCCGAGGGACACAGCCGGAGCTGGAGGGGACACAGAGGCCAGGAGCGGGCAGGCTGATCCCACGGCTCCACAGCAGCCCCACCCCACAGACGACGCGGCTCAGCCCTTAATTACCCGCCGTGCCCAGACAAAGCGGCTGGCGCGGGCCAGAGGTGGGCGCATCTGCTCAGGGTGGGAACAGAGCATCCCTCCTCCCAGTTTCTGCGCCGAGCCAGCTCCAGGCCCTCGCACAGGTATTTCCACAGCCTGACGTCAGGGCTGCTCCCAGGCGGAGGCTTATTCAGCAAAAGGAACCGTAACTGCGGCTGCGTCCCTGCAAAGGGCTGGGAGGGCACGGGGAAGGGCTGCCAAAGCCCAGCCTGGTAAAAAGGATGCCAAATCCCCACAGGGATGCAGCGATGGGCATCTTCTGTCAGAGTGACTGCAGGTGCGCTTCAAAGCATCTGCAGACACAAAGGAATGAGGAGAGAAAAGTGCAAGGCAAGGAGCCTGGCAAATGGCTGGAAACAAAGCCAAGAGCCATGAGCCAGCAGCCTCGTCCACTCCCCAGCTCCTCACAAAGTGKCCGAGAGATGGAAAAGGTGGAAGGACAGCTTGAGGATTTCCTGCCATGCCATGCGGGGCCATATCCCAGCCACGCTGCCCTGCCAAGGGTCTGCACTGCCCTCCTGTGCCCCTCAGCCCACCCCACCCCTGCCCTCCTCCGGCACAGCTCCTTTCCCCATGGCACAGCCGCTGCTGACGCTTACACCGCACCCTGATTTGTGGCCAAACACAGATTTAGCTTCCCTGCAGCAAGGCAAGGCAGCCTCCAGCCCCAGCGCTCGCTTGCTGGGCTCYCTCCAAGCGTGCAGCAGAGCCAGCTCAGCACGGCCTTGCCGCGGAGGAGCAGGGAATATCCCAGGCGGGGGCTCCCCCTTCCAGCCAAGGGGAGAGACAAGGTCTTCYCCGGGATCCGAGCCCCCGCGCAGCCGAGCCGCTCGATTTCCAGCCACAGCCCCGATACACAGCACGGCTCCCACCCACCTTGCTGCTCCCGGCCTCTCCTCCGGCAGGCACTGCCCTGCCCACCAGCCTCCCATCTCCCACTCTGCCCTGCAGGGCCAGGGCAGCCTCCAGCAAGTCCCTCTCCCTTTTCCACGGGGCTTCATCAAGCAGCATCCACAAGGGATGCATTTGAGGTGGGGCAGTTCGCCTGTGTCCGTGCTGGGAGAGGATCAGCAGCGTTCCCAGCCAGGCACTGGGCTGAGCCAGAGCTGAGCCCAAGGAATCAGCTGCTTTCCAGCTGCATGTGGGGCACAGAAGGCAGGACCCCGAGGGGTGCAGGGGATGCAGCCCTCACTGCCAAGGGGCACCAGAAAAAGAGTCCAGCCCAGCCAAAGCCAGGGGCAGAGTGGCCACTGAGAGCCGGGCACAGGCAGGCACAGCACAAACCACTCCCTGGGCAGCTGCTGGTTCAGAGCACAGCGTTCCTTCTGCACGCTGAGATGTCGTCTCTGGCAGGCACTGCCGGGTGAAGAAGACAGTTTCCTGGCCYGTCTCAGCGAGAGCAGGATTCTGGGACACGCTGGAGCAGCCAAGCCTGTCAAAGTGCCCCTTCCCGCCCCGTGGCTCCTCACCTCCCCACAGCTCCGAGCAGGGCTCTGCCCAGGGCTGTGGGCAGCACAGTGTGAGCAGAGACAGCAGCGGGAGAGGATGCTCAGCACCTCCCTTGGTGCTCCCCAGCAGCAATCGCACAGCAGGATGGTGGGAGAGCTCTCCCCATCCTCCTGCCAGCACCAATCCCCCACCATCCCCTCCCTGGTGGCTTCAGAGCCCTTGGCAGGAGCAGCAGGCACCACCATCCCACCACAGCCAGAAGTGGCACCACGGCTCATTCTCCAGGCTCCGTATTTGATTGCAACATTGCGGTGACAGATTTTCCATTACTTCTTGCTTGGGCGTTCCTGCTCCGCCTTTCCTTGCCTTTCCTTTCCAGTTTCATCTCCTCACCTCTCCCCATCCCTGTGCTCCTGCCAGGGACAGGGAGGGAGGACAGGAACACGAGGATCTCTGGCTGCCTGGAAGCTGGGATAGGGGTGCAGGACTCTAATCCAGACACCAAACTGAGTCACCCAGGAGCAGCTCCAGGTTTACGGAGGTTTTTGCCGGGTTTTCCCTGCCATCTCCAAGCCTGCAGCACCCACAGCCCCGGGAGCGGCACTGAGGAGCCCCAGCACAGCCCAGCACGCGAGAGCGAGGGGACCCAGCCCTCACACCGCCCTGTCCCACACTCCCACAGATCATTTTCCGTAGCCCGTGCCATTTTCCTGAGGGAAAAACTAATGCTAATCAGCCTGTTCTTCAGCTTCCCACAGAGGCATCCCATCCCCCGGCAGGGCGCTGCTCGGGGAGCAGGGAAGTGGAGCATCCTTAGTTACCATTCCGCACGGTCCACGCTCGCTCCGAGCCCTGGGAGCAGGCAGCTCCCAAGGAAAGGCGGGGCTGTGCCGACACGGACGTGCCGGCTCTACACCGGCTGCWCTTGAAGAGCCGCTTCCTTTGTTAGGGACGGCTGGGATGGAAATCAAGCCCTCCTGCCCCTCCATCTCCCCGCCTGCAGCCAAGGACAGCGGTTATTTATTAATTCCAGAGCGGCTTCTGCAGCTTGAATTTCGCCGGGCTGAGGCGGCRGGGCCGTGCTCTGCAGGGAGAGCGCCCCACACCCCGTGTCCAGTGCAACCACGGGGTCAGAACCCTTGCAGCACGCTGGGCTTGGGCCCTCCTTCCTTCCGTGTGTCCTCAGCCCCCTCTGGAATTCCACCAGCAAACCAGCCCTGGAGAGCAGCTTTAAGCCCGGGGAGGGGGCTACTGAGTGACTCCCACCTGCTTTTAGGATGCCCTTTCCAAACAAACAGAGAGCAGCAGCCTTCCAGCAGCCCTCACCCCCCCAGCACACGGAACGAGCTCCCCAAAATGCACCCGCTGCTGACCCCGCTGCCGGACCCTGCTGCACGTGTGCTCGCTGTATCCCTGGGGCTTGCGATGGGAAAACAGGAAACCCCCTGCTGCCACAGTCCCCCGCAGCTCTGGGAARAAAGGATGGGAGGCGGAAAGGCTTGGCCAGGGCTCCCGGTGACCCTGCAAAACTCATTTAAAGGCTTAGCAACGCGAAAGGGAGCTGGGGAAACACGTGGCTGTTTGTGGCTGTTTGGCTGCAGGAGACTCTGGTCCCTCCGGAGTTTCCTGCCAGAAGCGATAACCTAAACCCAAGCCCAGCCCCAGTCCTCTGTCACCTGCCAGCGCGGGATGGGGACCGGCCCCGCACCCGCCGCCTGCCCCTCCGGTTAAACATTCACTTGATCCAGCCAGCCTCCCAAAGCAGGAAAGTTAGCCCCAACCGTTCCTGGAAACAATGTCACAGACCTCAACCTCCTTCAAAAAAAAAAAAAAAATTAGAAAAAAAGCCAAAAACTATTTTTATATTTCCCTGTGCTTTTTAAAGGAAAAAAGCTCATTCTCTCGCTCAGGAAACGCCCACATCCTCCTGACTGCGCAGGGAGGAGCCCGCTGGATTTTTCCAGGGAGCATGAAGCAACAGGCATGCTGGAAATGAGTTTTCCATCGGTACCCGGGAGTGCCGGCGCTGGGCAGCCGCTCCGGCAGCGAGCAGGACCCGGCGGCATTTCTCACACATGACCCACGGCTGCAATCCCAGGCATTCGAGCTGCCGGGGCTGCCAGCGTTCATTCAGCACAGTCAGGGAGGCTCCCGAACAAGCGGGGCTTTATGAATCACCTCCCCGCTAAGCTTCGGGCCAGCCGAGGAATTCGGGAGCGACACCAAACCCGGGACGCAGCGCTCCCATCGCCCTCCCACCAAACCACGCGGCCCGTCGGGAGGAAAGCCCGGGAGCCGCATCCCGGAAAGACGGCTCCGAGTTTGCATGGAGCTTTTATGCGCCGAATAAGCGGACTCAGGTTTATTCTGCCACAGCCTGGGCGGTTCCTCAAGGAAAAGCTCAAGGCATCAACAGGGACATGCTCCAGCCTATCTCAGCTCTAAGCAAGGAGAAGTTTTGGGCTTGTTCCCGTTTTAACTCATCCCCMCAACCCCCGAGTCTCTCTCAGGGGCAGCAGGGGCGGCATTCCCTGCGGGAAGGTTTGGGATGGGGGCTGGCACACCCCGCTGCCAGGCACCTGCCCCTTCCTCCCTCTAGGGCAGGGTGTCCCCAAGCGGGGCAGGAACGGGGAGCCAAGAAGCAGCAGAGCCCGGGACAGGGACCACTGCAGCTCCAAAAACCCTCCTGGGACAGGGGCATGGGGTACAGCCCTGTCCCCCCAACCACATCCTCGGGAGACCCACAGATCCCGCAGCACATGGGAGAGAAAAAGAGCACAGACACTGCTGGGAGCTGGTGCTTCTCCTCCTGGCACAGCCTGGCCTCCTCCTCCGGCAGGGCAGGGGTCCCTGAGCCCAGCCCCGACCCCCCCACGCAGGGCAGGCTCATTCCTGGAGCGAGAGGAGGGACTCTGACCCCGGGTCAGTGCCCAGCTGGCTGGGCAGGCACTATTTTCTGCTTAAAAAGGAAAAGATTCACACAAAGAAGCACATCCAAGGGGCCAAGCCCTTCCCGCCCACACACAAATAGGTTTATTTAAAGGAGGAAGACAGCAAATTCCTATTTCCCTGTGTTTACTTGGAGATGGCCGGAAAAGAATGAAAGCACCAGTGCCTCCAATGCTCAAACATCATCGGGACCCTTTGGTATTTCTCCACCAAACAAACGCACTGAGGCAACAGGGGCTGGATCCCGGAGCAGCGGGGGGAGATGGGCAGGGGGGGTGCAGGGAGGCAGTGCCAGCCCAGCCGGACCCTGGCCGGAGTGCTGGATCCATCCCCAGAGCCATCCCGAGCCCACAGTGCGGTCCCAAGGGTGCCCACGCAGGGGTCAGGCACTACCAGGGAGGCTCCGGGCCGGGGCAGCTCCTCGGGGGCGTCAGGGAGGCACCAAGGCCAAGGATCAGCCCCTGCTGCCACCTCCACCCACCCCCAGCTCCCTGCGAGCCGGGCGGCGGCGCTCAGCCCGTGCAGCCTGGCAGGAGAAACTCCAGCCCCGGTTCCCAGGGATCCCGACCGGCCACAACCCCAAGCAGGGCGCTGGGAGACCTGCAGGGACTCGCTGCTGCCCTAACCCAGCCCAGGCGTGCCGAGTCGGACCTCCGAGCCCAGGAGCTGCCTTTGGAAAAGTCCCGCAGAAACCCCAAAGCGTTCATTATCTCTCGCAGCCGGGAGCAGCCCGCGGACGGGAGGGGTGAGTGGCACACCTGGGGCCAGGTTTGCAGGCAATCAAAGAAAACAGCGGGGAGAAGGGTTTGTTTGCACCTGCCACTGCCAACTTCCCTGCCCCACGAAATCCTCCCAGCTGTGGGAGCCCCCTGGCCAGCACCGGCCGTGCCGGGTGGGATGGCTTCCCCTGACCCACGCCAGCAGGTGCCTGGGGACAGGAGCCACCCCACTGTCAGCASCCCGGGCTGAGGGCGCGTACCCCAGCCAGGGCTCCTCACCGCCTGCTTCCCCTCCCCAGCCCAGGGAGCCCGGGTCACCCACACCCTCCGTGCCCCCTGCCCCGGGGCCAGCCGGCAGCAGCCCCCGGCACACGGGGCAGAGCAGAGAGGCCGCGGCCAGCACGGCGGGGCCCGGGAGAGAAGCAGCGGCTGCCGGGCGGGTCTCGGGGTGAGCCCCGCTGGGAGCTGCGGCGGAGCGGGGACCGAGGGGACACGTCCCGGAGGGGGATTGGGGAGGTGAGGGTGCACCGGGGCTCAGGGAAAGGGACGGCAGGGATGAGCGCCGGCTCTGGGCTGGGGGACCGGCTTGAAGTGCCAGGGATGCGTCTCGGCGCGGGGAAGGGGATGGGGGCCGGGCCCCGGGGATGCGCTCACCGAAGTACACGGTCTTGTCGCACTTGGGGCACTTGGATGCCATGGCGGGAGAGCGGAGCCGAGGCGAGCCGTGCTGTGCCGAGCCGTGCTGTGATGTGCCGCGCCGTGCTCCCCGCTCCGCCCGGCCCCCGCCCACCGCCGCCCGGGGGGAGCCGGGGCGGGGCTGCCCGCCGAGCGTCGGCCCGGCACGGCACGGCACGGCACGGCAGGGCTCGGCACGGCACGGCACGGTACGGCTCCAGCCCAGCGCAGCAGGTGCCCGGGGCCGCCGGCGGAGAAAACACCCCCTGTCCTGTCCCCCATCCCCAAAGAACAAAATCGGGACGCGAGTGCTCCCGCCTTYCCTTGCCTGGGAAAAAAACCTCCATAATAAGCAGGTTGTAGTTGAGCGRCGCGACTTGGGGGGTTTTACCGGCCCCAAAGGCACCGGCCGGGAGTCCCCCCGGCTGAGTCCGGCCAGCAGCCGTCCCTGGGGCATGAGCSGGGGGTGGCAGTCCCGGGCCAGCCGCCTCAGAGGGACTCGGGCATCTCCCACCCCCCTGGGGCCGCTCAGCCCGTCCCCGCCCCAGCCCCGCTCGCTGCCCGGCTCCAGCGCCCGCATCCCCGGCTCCCGGCGCCATTCCGCTCSGTTGCCATGGAAACTCCCATCTCAAAAACCCCTCCGGCTGTGCAAAGGGATGCTCAGGGAGCCGTGAAGGCACGGCGAGGACACTCAAGCAGCCACGATGCCGTGGAGAGACAGGCGAGCCCCACGGTGGGGTGCAGACCCCCTGCGCACAGGGCATCCCCTCGGTGCCCCCCGGCCGGATCCTGTGCGGTGGGCGCAGGGCAGGGGGGTACAAGGATGGTGCCAGCTGGGGCAGGGCCATGGCCGGGGAGCTGCGCCCCTGCCCCGCCACGCCGCCGGCTGGGCCGGATTGTTGGTAAACAGGACATCTGCCGCTCCGCAAGCGCAGCTTGCATTATTCATCAGCCGGCAGCCCGGCTCTGCTCCGCSGCCATTGTCACTGAATTCCCTGCTCCGCCGGCAGCTGGTGCAGCTGCCGAGCGCCCGCCGGGCCCCCGGCACACAGGCAGCCTTGGGAAGGGACCGCGGGGCTCCGGGATGGGACAGAGTCACCCAGCGGGTGCTTGGGGCCGGAGGGAACGGGGATGCTCGAGAGAGGATTTCTCCATCCCCCGAGCACCCTGCTGGGTCAGAAGGCCCAGGCTCCCCTGTCACTCCTCACCCAGCTGCTGTCACAACAATGCGTGGCTTTGTGGCCGGCGGGGTCCCTGCGCGGGGGCAGGTGGCAGCGGTGCCTCCGGGGCGCCCCAGCCCCACAGGGCCCCTGCGTGTCCCCTGCACGGTGGAGCCAGCGTGTCCCAGCCCAGCCCCGCAGCCAGCAGGGCAGGGCAGGAGATGGGGATTTGTGGAGTTGTTGATTTAGGAAAGATCAGCTGCCTGYGCCAGCACAGCCCCACGGCACTCGCGGGGGTCCCTCCGTGGTCCCCGGAGTGTCTGCAGCCCTAAAGAACCCCATGGCMGCGGGCAGGTGCCAGCACAGCACCAGCAGCATCCCTGTGCCTGCAGCAGCTCCTGTCTCACGCTCTGAGGGACATCCTGAACAGGGCCTGCTGTCTAAATCTGCCACATTCACAGGAAATCTCAGCTGCTGTCCCTGCTGAGGGTGCAGGAGGAGGAGGAGGAGGAAGGCTGCATCCTCAACAGTGTGCTTGGGGTGGGCACAGGGGAAACCTGGGCTCTGCCACACTGCAGAACCAGCACCCGGACGGGCTCTGGCCGGCCAAGGGCTTTTCAGAGAGAGAGGCTGCGGGGAATTAAAACAAATCAYCTAAAGGTGTGAATCCCTGCTCGCAAATGCGCTAAATCCCAAGCGGATATGCTCGCTCAGGAGCAAAGTGGCTTTAGCTGGTCGTGTCTTAAGCTTCCCCGATTTAGGCTCGGCAWGCTCCTGCGCTGAGGGCAGGGATGTCCTGGCACCTGGGGGACAGGTGACTCGGGCTGCACTGTCTAAGCAAGCGGGAATGGCCGAGCCTGCTGCCAGGGGGACACAGGATGCGGGCAGGGGGTGGTGGCACATGAGGGACACCCCGACCTCGCTGAGCCTCTCCCCAGACAGCACATTAACAGCCAAGCTGGGGGGAATTCTCACCAAGGGATGCGTTTCCCGTCAGAAATCTGTGGGTTCCATCCCTGCCCGAGGGCTGAGCTGGAGTTTCCCTGGCAGCGGGTGACAAAGCCGTCTTTCAGTGGCCAGGGGAGGTTTCTGGCACGGGCYGTGCCCCCTGCAGCAGTGCCCGGGGGTGTCCCGGCCGAGGGGACCGTGTCCCCAGCCCTCGTGGCCGCGGCGGGAGGTGACCCATTTTGGTCCAATGGAGCAGCCCCGGGATTTCCTGCGCTGCTGAGGGCAGCTGGCTCCCCTGCCCTGCCCGGCACGGCACACACAGCCCCGGGGGCACAGCGCTGCATCTGCGCTCATGTGGCCGTGCCCTCAGATGCCCGCTTCGGCTGCGTGAGGGGCTCTGCTCCTCAGAGCACTCTCTCTCTCTCTTTAACCCAGCCATTCCCTCAGGGATGTGGAACGGAGCAGAGCCACATGCTCGTAGCATCCCCTTTTGGGGCTGGAGCTGGGTCTGAAGCCATCCTAGAGCTGGTGCCTGTAGCCCTTCCTCGGCAGCAGCAGCCGCCCCAGGGCCCAGCAGGGCTGTGACACACGGAGGGTTTGCCGAGTGTGCCGGGCTGGCCCTGGAGCAGGGATCGCCTCCAGCCGGAGCCTGCAAGAGGTGCGAGCCTGGGACCTCTGCCTGGGGCAGGTCAACCAGAGAGCTTTGAGCAGAGATTAAGAGAAAGTGAGGAATAAATAAGGAATAACTCCCTCAGGCTGTCTCCCCTTTGGCTCACCTCTCTCCCCCTCCCCACTCTGACTCCCCTCAGCTCTTTCTTCTCCATTCAGATACAAATACCACAAAAACTCATGGCCCCAGACAGAGCTGCTCCTACGGGGAGCTGGGATTGGAACGTCTTCCTCTGCTCTCGTGTTTTCTGGCACCTAGCATCCCTTGGATTTGTTACAGGGCGAGAAGAGGCTGGGAGGGCTAAAAATTTCAAAGGTTATGGGAAAATCCCCTGCTGCTGGCTTGGTGTGCCCAGAGATCAGTGACCCATACATGGCCCGCTGACCCTCAGCTGGGGCACCGTGGGCACCCACAGGTCCAGAGCCCTCATGGCAGGGTCACCCCAGGGTGACACGCTGCAGCTTTCTCTCTTTCTCACCCCTGAAGCTCCTGCAGCCCCAGACACAGCCCGCAGCCAGGGGCTGGTGGTCACAAAGGACTCCTGCCAGTGGCAAGTAACAGCCACTGGCCATGGGCCACCCTAGCTGTACCCAACTTTGCCTCAGGTCCTTGCATTGGGCTGGAGATTCAGGGAAAACGTGGTTGGGCTTCCCTTCGTGGACTGGGAGCAGTTCCCTGTGAYGGGATGCAACAGAAAGAGCCTTTCACAAAACCTGGCAAAACACTTTATTTCTTATTTCATTTATTCTCCACAGCCCTCCTGGGTGTGCAGCGCCTGCCAGCCGGGATCTGGCTGTCCTACATCCCGAGCTGGGGCTGGATGGGAGGCTGAGCGGGGCAGCACCCTGCCTGGAACAGGGGAAAATTGTCCCCAAGGCGAGGAGCCGGGGCTGGCTGGGGCGGGGAGGCAGCCACGCACAGAGGGGACAGCCCGGACCCGCCGGACACCCACCCAAGGGCGGCTGCGGGATCAGAGCACGGCTCGGGAAGGCAGAACGGCGGCTTAGGGGGGATTAGCAAGCGACGGGAAGATGGAGGAGCAGAGGACGAGCGTGCCGAGGGCTGGCAGGGGCTGGCTCTCGTCAGGCAGCACATGCCACTGCCCGGGGCTCGGCGCCCGGCGTCCCCCGCTCCAGCCGTCCACTTGTGCTGCTCTCCTTTAAAAGGCATCCCGGGCCCTGCCGTTATCGGCCAGAGCTGATAGGGCTGTCACGCCGGCAATAAACAGGTTTGCAGATATCCCACTTGTCCTTGCCACCTGGAATAGATGWCCCCGTTGTCCCTGCGTCCCCTTCCCGAGGGGCCGTGGCTGCTGGTGACAATCCCAGCAGGCTGCAGACAATTCTGAGGATGCAGACCTTGGTGTGAACTCCATGGAGCAGGGGTGATGCCTCCGTGCAGTGCCTGGAAAGCAGGGATCTAACAAAAAAAAGGCAGGAAACCGGCTGGAGAGACCTGAGCACAGCATGGAGCCGTGGTGGGACTGCAGCGGGGAGGCTGTGCAGAGCAGCTGGGATGGGGGTGACTGTCACCAGTGGCTCTCCCTCTGCTTTTCCAGGGAAAGAAASGGTGTCCCAAGGAACAGGCTGTGCTCAGACCCAGGCTGCAGTGACAAAGTTCAGCTCAGGGCAGTTTATCATTAAGCCCTCCCCGTCCCACGGCCCCCCCGTTCATGCTGTGGCCAGAAGTCGGGCCAGCCATGGTGCAATGTGGCTGTGGGGGCCAGCACAGAGCAGGGCAAGCGTGCACAGCAGCTGCCCAGCTTTCATGGCTCTGTGGCCCACATGGCACCCCCTCCAGGACACCCTCAGCGAGCCCCGGCGTGGGGAAGGGGCTGGACACACATGACCCAGCCCCTCATGAGTGCTGCAATGTCCCCACWGCACCGTGTTCTCCTTCAGCATCACTCACCCACGAGGATGTGYTTGGCCCCGCTTCCCACCAGACATTTTGGGCTCCAGGAAGGGATGCAGGGAAATGCCACACCCGGCCTGGCTCCTCATCCACACGCTCCACACACTCCCCTCGTGCCTGTCCTGCCTGGGGGCACCCAAAGCACAGGCAGGGGGAACAAACTCGCTCCTGCTCGGGTGGAAAATCTCTGAATGAGCACGACTTGGCTGAAACCTCCAGCCAGGACCTGTAAATCTGCTGCCTGTGACGCTGCCAGCATCCCACAGAGCACTGGATCCAGGTGGAGAGTCCCCCTGCACAAGGGAAGGGAGGAAGCTGTCTGCAGAAAGATGCTGAATTTATGTTATTCGTTCTCGTTCCAGGAATGTGGTGAATGAACTCGCAAAGCCCAGGGCAGGAATCAA